TTCAGGGTTCAGGGTTTAAGTTTTAGGGGTTAAGGATGTAGGGTTTAGGGTTTAAGGTGCTGGGTTCAGCTTAGTTTAAGTTACCATGGGGACATGTTCCTTTCAGGGATCTATAAGGGTTCCATAAGCCTGTAGGGGTTTAAGTTACCACAACGGGGATATGTAGTAAATAATAGGGTTTCGTTATTAGAGTAATGTACTTAAGGTTCCTTAACGGCACCTCAGGCTGGCGAGCGTTGCTGCGAAGTGCTCTCCTCAGAAGTGACGGTGAGACTCATGCGGGGGTTGTTTGGGAGATCTTTTCAAAGATGTGACCATTGGGAAGACCCCCCCCCCCGAAATCCTAAAGCCTAAGCCCTAAATCCCATCATCTAAGAAGCCGCAAGAAAGCAAGACTGGCTCAGGAATATGCTCCCAGACATTGTGAAGCTTTTTGATCAGCTGGACGCTGACCGGAGTGGCTTCCTGGTGATTCAGGCTCCGTCCTTAAAGGGGTCAGACAACGGGGTCGGAAGACTTGCTACTAGTATTCCCTAGTCCTCCCGACATTCTTCTAGTAATTACAGCATACCCCGTTCTAAATAACTACGATTCATACTCCTTTATTGTCCGTCTATTCTTACAGTACATGATACCTCCCCCTAAACCCAAAACCCTAAACCCTAAACCCTAAACCCTCCAGAAGATTCAGTCTAACTATGAAGTGCAGGGTGGAGTTATCGGGCGTGCTCTCGGGGTTTTGTAGGTTCAGAGTTCCGGGCTTGGGATTTAGGGTTTTAGGGTCTTTCGGGTTTAGGGCTGGGGGTTTAGGGATTTAGGGTTTAGGGGTTTAGGGGTTTAGGGTTTAGGGTTTTAGGGTTTAGGGATTTCGGGGTTTAGGGTTTTGGGTTTAGTGTTTTCGGGGTTTCGGGGGTTTCAGCGCCGTAGGGTTTAGGGGTGGTAGGTTTCTACTGAGGAGGAGCTGTAGGACTGTCAGCCTCTCGGGTTAAGGAATTATAAGGTTTGAGCTTTAGGGTTTAGGGTTTAGGGTTTAGGGTTTAGGGTTTAGGGCTCAGCGTTGTAGAGTTATAGGTCTAGCTTTTTGGGTTTGAGGTTTAGACTTTAGGGTTCGAGGTTTAGGGCTTAGGGGCGTCAAAAACTGAGACCTCGTGTGCCAGGTCGCAGCAGGAGCCCGATTCACACCCTTCGCGGCTTAGGGTTTCATATAGGGTTTAGGGTTTAGGGTTTAGGGTTCATAATTACCTATACTATTTTGGGGGTTCCGTTTATTAGTTACAGTATCCTATACCCCAAACCCCTATTTTGACTACGAAGGCCCCTGCCTTAGGCTTTAGGGCGCGTAAGCCCTGGGCCTTTCAGTGTCAGCGCGAAAACCTAAGCGGCTTGAAGTAGAGCCGTACAACAGACACGGTTAAGGTTTAGGGTTTAGGGTTTAGGGTTTAGGGTTTAGGGTTTAGGGTTTAGGGTTTAGGGTTTAGGGTTTAAGGTTTAGGGTTCAGGGTGTAGGTGCAAACACACGGAAACTGTAGAACGAGTCAACAGAAGCGGACAAGGGCACAAAGCCCCGGTACAAACATAGCACACACATGGGTAGTTTTCTAAATTAGGGTCCCTTTTTAGGTCCCCAATATAGTACGGCACCCTTATAAAAAGGACCCTAAAAGGGACCCTAATTTTGACAACTACCCACACACAGAGCCACAGCCATTCCTGAAGTCCCAAGCACCAAAACCCCGAAGGGGAAACCCAAAACCCTAAACCCTAAAACCCCAAAGTTTTGAAGCCCAAACCACCAAAGCCTCAAGCCCGAAAGGAGAAACCCTAAACCCTAAACCCCTCAACCCTAAACCTTTAAGCCTTGAGCCCTAAACCATAAACCCTAAACCCCCAAACCCTAAGCCTTAAACTCCTAAACCCTAAACCCTAAACCCTAAGCCTTAAACCCCTATATAAACCCTAAACCCCTAAACCCCAAACCCCTCAGCCCTCAAACCCCCCCCGAAGAGCCCTAAACCCTAAACCCTAAACCCTAAACCCTAAACCCTAAACCCTAAAAGGAGATGAAAGACTTTGAGACTGAGGGCTTGGTGCCACCCGAAGCTTGGCTTTCTCAAGCTCGGCTTAGAGGGCTTAGGGGTTTAGGGTGTAGGGGGTTTAGGGTTTAGGGTTTTAGGGGTTTAGGGTTTAGGGTTTAGGGGTTTAGGGGTTTAGGGTTTAGGGTTTAGGTTTTTTTTTGTTCAGGGGTTTAGGGTTTAGGGGTTTTTGGTTCAGAGGTTTGGGGTTTAGGGTTTAGGGTTTAGGGTTTAGGGTGTAGGGGTTCAGGGGTTTAGGGGTTTAGGGTTTAGGGTCTAGGGGGTCGGGGTAATATCAAGGGGTTCTCTAGAGGGCTGCTGTAAGGCTGTAAGGGTTCTAGACGGGCTCGACGGTTTGTGGTTAGTTAGGGTTTAGGTGCATTCCGAAAGTAGGTTTCGGGTTGTTTGGGATTTAGGGGTTGATGATTTGTTGGTGGTGGTTTAGGGTTGTTCAGGGGTTTAGGGTTGTTAGCTTTTTAGGGTTGTTTGGGGTTTAGGGTTTTATGATTATTTGGTGGTTCAGGGTTGTTCAGGGGTTTAGTAGGGTTGTTTCTGGGATGTTAGGGCCAGTTTAGGGTTGGCGTGCCTGATGTTGTTTTTTCGATTCTCCCACGTCCTGCTTTGCGTTTAGCTTACGACACTTGTCTAGCCTGTTGCTCGGGCTTTGGTTGTATGATGGTGGTTTAAACCCTGAAAGCTTACCAGGCCCGGAACGCATCAAACCTTACAAATCCTCAATCCTAAACCCCCAAAACTAAACACCCTAAACGGCCCTAAACCCCTGAAGCCCTAAACACCCCAAAAGCCCTAAGCCCTAAGCGAGACAGCTCTGCTCAGGAGCTCTTGGACAAAGCCTCCGTGGAGTCCATGCGCCTCAGCAGCCTTTAACCGAAGAATGCGGCTCAAGAGGAAAACGAAGAGGACGATTATGCTGAACGACCCGAAATCCTAGCGAATAACTTGTCGCAGATATCCTTGACTTTGGAAAGTCTAAACAAGAAAGCTTCTCACCCTGAAGCATGAACCCGGACAGTGAACAGAAGCAAAATCAGCGCAGCAGGATAGAGGAGCACGTGTGGACTCTGCTCCTGAATGAAACCCCAAAGCCCCAACTCCCTATGCCTGATCCCTAACACCGTCGTTTGGGATTTCGACCTAACACCACCACCACCACCACCACCACCACCACCACCACCACCACCACCACCACCACCACCACCTCTGCCACCATTGACACCACCGCCAACACCCCGCCAAATTGCCAAGACCGCCAACACCGTCAACAGCAAAAGCCACAGCAACGGCGGCAAAAGCAGCAGGAACAGGAACAGGAAAAGGAAGCAGCAGCAACAGCAACAACAGCAGCAGCAGCAGCAGTTCGAAGTATCATCTACTACAAGTTCTATAAACACCACGACGGGAACCCTCCCCGAAAGCCATGGCAACTCCATCTTTCCTGCTGCCTTGTAGAGAGAGCCAGGAGTGAACTCTTCCAGCAGCTCGACGTCGACGAGTCTGGGAGGGTGCTCCGAGCTGCAAAAGGGACCAGAGGGGCTCTTCGTCTTTTAGGGTTTAGGCTCTAGAGTTTAGGGTTTAGAGTTTCGGGTCTAGGGGCCCTATTTCTTCTATGGCAACGCTGGTCTGAGGCAGTGTGCTTGGAGTGTGTTGTGTGTGTTTCCACTCGTCGCCTGCGTGCGCCGCACGATGAAGGTGAACCGAGAGGAGTTCATAGAGGGCCTGTTGGACATCTTCCTCCGGGAGGCCAGGAGAAGATGATTTTTTTTTGTTGCGGGGGGCGAGGCGGGGGGGGGTCCTTACTAGTCTGAGAAAAACTATACACCCCACACTCTAAACTCTGAAGCCCTAAACCCAAAACCCAAAACCAAAGGGTTAGCATGATATGAGGGTTTTCAGCAGCAGAACTCGACGCTCTGGGGTCCCACCCTTTTCCTTGGTAAACCCTTCTGTTTTAATAGCTCTGTGAGATACCCTAAACCCTAGACCCCTAAACCCGAAACCCCCTAAACCCCGAAACCCCTAAACCCCCCAAACCCCTAAACCCCTAAACCTCTAAAACCCTAAAACCCAAGCCCTAAACGGCTCTGTGAGGTTCCCGTCTACTCCATTCAAGCGACGAAGATGCTCCGCCTGGTTCGGGAGTCGCAGCTGAAGGTCGAAGCTACTTGGGGTGAATGGCTCCCTTAAGGGCCCCTGAATTTTGGGGGGTTCCTTATTCTAGAGTATAGTAGAATACGGTTCCCTTAAGGGCCCTTAGTTTTGGGGGTTCCTTACTATAGTTATAGTAGAATACACCCCAAAACCCTCTTCTAGTTATGAAGGCCACTGCTTGAAGGTTTCCTTGGAGGTTCGTTAAAGGGTGCCTACCAGGGTTCTTTGAGGCTTGTATCGTAAATAGGGGCAGTTACGGATTCAACAAAGTTATGGCCCTGATAAGGCTTGCGATAAGCTTTTCTTAACAAGGAGATACTATTGCAATGTGTTGCTATGTGGGTAGGAATAACTATCAACATTCTTCCTCAGGAGTGCCACAGATGTGGGGATGATTAGCTTCATTACGCCCTTATCGTCCTTATTACAGTTACACTATGATATGTATCCCCAAACCCTCCTCCAATTATTCAGGCTCCTATACGAAAGCCGCATCAAAGCTTGGAAGCCCGTCTTAAGCTCCTATTTGTTGTTTTCTGGAGCCCTTGTTGTAGAACCCTAAACCCCAAACCCTCACACCCTAAACCCTAAACCCTTAAACCCTAAACGCAAAACCTTTAAAGCCTAAACCCAAAACCCTAAACCCAAAACCCCCCAGAACTCCCGGTTCAAGAACCCTGTGAAGAACCCCTAGTGTATGTTTTCAAGGGCCCCTTTATCTCCTGTGAAGAGCCCTGTAAAGAGCCCCCATTCCAACTCTTCAGGTCTACCCTAAACCCTTAAACCCTTGAACCCTTAAGCCCTTAAGCCCTAAACCCTAAACCGTAAACCGAAACCCCAAACCCCAAACCCCAAACCCCAAACCCCAAACCCCAAACCCCAAACCCCAAACCCTAAACCCTAAACCCTAAACCCTAAACCCTATACCCTAAACCGACCCGAGGCCGACATCCGGAGTCTGCAGGACCAGCTCGGGACGAAGACTGAGCGCAGCCTGGGCTTCTTCTAGGAAGCCCGGTGGCTCGTATATGGGTGTCTTGTTTAGGGTTTAGGGTTTAGGGTTTAGGGGTTTAGGGTTTAGGGTTTAGGGGTTTAGGTGTTAGGGTTCTTAGGGTTGGGGGTGTAAAATAGAAGCCTAAATAGTTGCTTATACTTTTTGGGGTGCCTCGTGGGTGTCTTGTTGCTTCGTGCTCTTAGGGCTTTTAGGGGTTAGGGTTTAGGGTTTAGGGGTTTAAGGTTTAGGGGTTTAGGGTTTAGGGTGTTCAGGGGTTCGGGTTTAGGGTTTAGGGTTTTAGGGTTTAAGGTTTAGGGTTTTAGGGTTTAGGGTCTAGGGGTTTAGGGTTTAAGGTGTAGGCGTCTAGAGTATTAGGGTTTAGGGGTTTAGGGGTGTAGGGGTTTGGGTTTACGGTTTAGGGGTTGAGGGTTTAGGGTCTTCGGAGCGCTCGGAGCGCAGGGGGTAGGAGAAGGTTTCGGAGACCGTGGCATAAGAGAGCAGGTGAGTCTGGTAGGTCAGGGTCCTAAACTCAACCTCCATTCCCCTACTATGTCATGTTCGTGGCTTGAGGATCGGTCCAGGGATAGCTTAGTGGAAGCGATAATTCAGCCGGTACAGACCGCATCTCCGGAGAGATTCTGCTCAGCCCGAAACTGGGCTAAGCCGGTCGGGGAGAAACTTCCCCATGCTCCGCCGAAGGGTTTCATCGGGAACAGCCCGAACCGTCAACAGGATTTTCAAGCGTCCGCAAATTGAAGCTTGTTTAATTGGAGTTTTTGAATTTGACTCTACACAATCCACAATTCCATACATTAAAACGGTGTAAACTTGTTAAATTTATTTTAACAATACTAACCGTATTACAAACTGTTTATGTAGTAAATCTCCCGTTTTCATTGGCGACTCCGAAGTAGGGTCATCAACCCTATACCCTTTGTATAAATCCCTAAACCCCTAACCCCCGCACCCCCCGTAAGCCCTACACCCCTAACCCCCCCAAACCCTAAACCCTAAAGCCCTAACCCCCTTCTAAACCCCAAACTCAAGAGCGACGGAACCTACGAGTTCAGCTTCTGCGTCCTTGGCACCTTGGAGGTCATTCTGAACACCGCGGGAGACCCAGGCCAGGTCGGCTGAGGGTTTAGGGTTTAGGGT